TTGGCGGCCATTTTGTTTTTCCGCCATTTTGTTTTCAATTAGAGTTACCTGTGTGTGTAATTATTACATATGTGTAATTATTCTTGATTATACGATCAATTTAAATTAATCGATAAATTAATTAGATCAATCAAACCGCGAATTAAATTAATCGGACAGCGGATTAAATTAATCAAATCCACAAATTAAATTAATTAGAGGAAATTCCGAGAAATCAAACCGCGAATTAAATTAATCAAGCCGCGAATTAAATTAATCGAACCGCGAATTAAATTAATCGAGCCGCGGATTAAATTAATTAGATCAATCAAACCACAAATTAAATTAATCAAGCCGCGAATTAAATTAATCGATTACGTCATCGCTCTTATCAAATGTCAATAAAGACCAAAATCCCACAGTTTTTAATCAATTAATCAAATCAAACTCCAAATTTCCCCCCTCCACCCTCGAAAACACCCCTCGTCCACGGGGGCGAACCCGCGAATCAATTTAATTGACCTTGATTGACCCCGCGAATAAAATCCAAGATGGCGGCAAAGTGCACGACTTTCTAACTACCCATTAATCCATAGGCTGCTTCCCTATTTTCTCTTATTCTGAAAAAGAATAACGCATCACAATTGGATAATTAATGAGGTGATCATACTTCCACCTAACGAGCCCATCTGGTAGCGTCGCGTGGAGAAACCCCGGCTTGGACCACCTTTTTGCACTGCCGTATTTGCACCAGTTAAATAGCTCCGAAAACAAGGTCAGACTAAGTTTAATTACTGTTCCGTCGTGAAGCATGTCGGCGACAAGTCTATACCAGCATTAAGCATAGTGGGCAAGGCGATTACCCTTTAGATCTGAAACCAAAATACCTACTCGTTAGCCAGACTCGAGGTTACAAATTGTACTTACCGGTAGGAATCCATAGCTGCACCGCTGCAGGTGTAATCACCCGTTCGACTTTTAACTTAATCTATTTATAATAAATAAAACTTAATTAGCGTAGCACTTCATGCTTGTTTAATTTTTCACTTGCTAAATGATAAATACATTGTGACTACTTTAATGTTTATTAGCACTACCAATACAGCAATTGTTATATACCGGGTAGGTGCTGAGCGATTTGAGTGTTTGGTAATCAGTTTCATAAAGACAAAAGGGAACTGCGTAAGTACCTATTTACCGCATTTAACGTCACTGAGCATTTGTTAACTTACCTAAGATCGCTACCCCAATAAGGCCATATTCCGTTAGCCGTCCAATTTTAATTGTCGAGCGTCAGACTGCAAATCACTTGTGTGAGATCTGTATTTCAAACTATATCCTTGCGAGGTTGTTACCTTATTAGTTACTAACTATTCAAGCCGTGATGTCCCTCCTGTACCTAATTATAAAAAAAATGTCAAAGCCTGTGACTATTGCCTAACTTTAATATACGAACCGTTTAGTGTGACTGGTTAGTTTATTGCCCCAGCCGAGTACCCACGACCCCTGCCTCCTATATTCGAGCTGCCTCCTTTGGCAATTTGTGCCGTTGTTGCACGAGGCAACGTAGGTCACAACCTGAAGTGCGAATGAGGATATCGGGAGCAGGAGATTGGCCGGTATACATACATTGCGAGATCAAATCTTCAGTAATGTCCTCTATTCGTAGAGCACCGCTGCGAACGCCTTCGAAAATTAAATTGAGTGCGTTGGTGATCTCCTCTCTAGATCAGGGGCGCCGACTTATCAAAATTTATGTGGGTGCTCACCAAGCCAGAAGCCTCACATATTATGTCCACAGATGCGAATATCTGCTGCGTCTACTGGCCCTGAAAATCGCCCAAAATCGCAATAATTGCGGCTGCTTAAAATCGACCAAAATCGCAAATAAAACGACAAAATAAAATCAAATTTCTATTACATAAGAGAAAAAAAGGGGAACGTAAGCGAGTAAGCAAAAAATAATCTGCATATGCATGCGACACCTTCGTTGATGCGTCAAGCATTTGATACCGTTAATCTTAATTTGCAACAGCTTCTCAGTTTTCATATCCTCTGTTTTACAATAGGTAGTACCATACCTACACATGACAATTATTAAATGTGTGTAGTTATAGGTAGGTAGGTACTGTTAATCTTTGTCATTAAAAATAAACTAAGGAATTAAATTTAAGAAGTCGCATAAGCGTTTTCAAAATCGCCCAATTTGCGATATATCGTAAATGTGAAAAAATAGGCGCAATTATGAATGTTGTATCGCCCATCGATAAATCGCCCACGTTGGGAACCCCGGACTGGGACCTGGCCTGGGACTGCGGCTTTGAACTTCATGTACCGAATACCATTATTTCATTTTTCATAAGAATTAACGATGGCGATCGACGATGTATGTAACGGATGACGGATGTAATTTCATTTCGATAATTCGATATCATAAAAATGCTGTACGATCTGTACAGATTCTACAAATGTAGTCACATTCAAATTCAACAACTACTGTAGTCTGTACGCCGTACGGAAAATATTTATAGAAATCTTTCCTGCCATTTCGTGTGAGTAAAGTAAAAAAATACATCTAAATTTCTTCGTGTTTAGTAACTATCGAGAAAAAAGACCTAAATAGACAAATATCAACCGGAAAATTCTGTGGGTGCGATGCACCCACATAACTTTTTCTGTGGGTGCTTAAGCCCCGAAGCACCCACGTAGTCGGTGCCCCTGCTCTAGATGTGTACGAAATTGCCACGTTCAAATGCGATTCCTTTACTGCTGTCTGAGAAACTCTTAACGATAACCTGTAGTGTTTGCTTTGGAATTAAAGTCAGATTTCCTATTACCTTTATTTGAAAGGAAGACTGCTTATCATCCAGTACTTCCCTAATACGGTGCCTTATTATTTGTGTCAATTTTTCCACTTCGATTGCACTTCGTTTAAAATTCTCAATGCTAAAAGCGTAAACAGTAACTTCCTTGATTCCAAACAATTCACACCAACGTAGGGTTTCGATTTACTTCATACCCCCTGCCGAGTGACCCACCCAAGGTTGCATATTCTTCTTCTTTGCATAACTTCGGTTCCCATCCGTTATGAAAGCGATATGTCTCGGGATGGGGCCACATTTTAACACGTTTGCACAGAATATTTTCAAGAAATGAACAACATAATCATATAGCCACATTTCGGGACTTTATCGGTTACGAACAGAACTCAATTTGAAAAAGGTAGTACATTTTATCAAATGTGACCATGCTGTGTCCTATTGAGGTTATCGTATTTCAAACGAAATCATAATCAAAACTTTACTACAATTGGTCAATATTTGGCCTCAAAGTTAATCAGTGTTGTTTATGCGTGGACTGACAATTAAAATTTTCCTTTCGATGGTTGAACTTACTTAAGTAGCTGCGCCAATGGCTGAGAATGATGTAACGGCTTTCGCATTTTGTGTTGAGCTCGGTGTAGAGAATGAGGTATGCACCCGAGGTAGGAATGATAATAATATCCGTATATTAACTGCAATAATTTGGTACGATGAGTACAGCCTTTCGCGAGTAAAAATGATTGGAGATCGTGATAGGAAAATTTCCCAACCAAGCAGCTTTGCACACAGCTGGAAGAAAATTCAGTTATCACTTTTAGATTGAAGAGATTGGCGATGGTTTCATTTCGAATTAGATGTAAGTACGCAAATGAGTCGAATATTCTCGACATTCTGGTGGACACCTCCGACGAAACTAAGATCAGCTACTGCGGCCAGTCGAATATTGATTTTAAACCGATTAGATGCCAGCTTTTAAAATTTTTTCATTTTGCGAGTTAATTGTTACGTACGAACATAGCCCCAATTGGTTGTTGAAGGGTAGGTATATAACTAATATATTTTTAGCGCGTTTTTTATGAATTAAAAAAAATATAGTATTGTTTGCGTTTTATCCGTCCGTCCGGACCGACTTCTACCGTTTTGAACTACTTCTAGGGGAATGGTCCTAGAGTCCTGGAATGTTTTACAGTAGGTAGCCTATACCTTGAAGGTGTGCCAGACGGCTATCAAATTTCGTTGTCTAAAAGGGACCCCCCCACGAATTATTTCCTGAGATACTGTTTTTGAAAGTAAAACGTACATAGGTTTTACATACGACAACCAATTGGTCTCACATTTTGCATGCCCTTCGACCTCTTATCGTGATCGGGTATATTCCCTTATACCTCAAGAACGGATTGTAGAGGGTACTCATAAAGGGCGATGGAGACGTCTCCAAGAATGTAACCATTGTTGATGTCAAAACAAAAGCTATTTCGGTTAAAAAAATGCGCTTTATCTGCACAAGAGTTGTGCACAATTTATACTTGTTTTTAATATGCCAGGGGCCCAAAAAGTATAGTTTAAAAGCTGCGACCACTAAAGTATCAGCAACCACAAAACGTTATAGGATGAAACTAACAGTTTATCTGGAGTGTTTTGGTATGCTAGCTAACTCAAATTAATTTTTAAATTCGGATACAGTTATGATTGTAATTCGTGTATGGACAAGCGAAATAGTTTTTGAATTTCACAAAATTTATTGTACTTATACATACTTTGATTCGGATCCCTGGTGCTTCAAAACGTGTATTTCCGTAAACAAAGTGGAAGGTCATGTTTTACCCTAATGCAATACCCCTTACTAACGTGCGGTGGGTAACAAACTTCGGTGTCGCATTTTGCAATGTAGCAACGTGTACAACTTATAACATTCAATTTTGACAACCAGGTCCGTTGGTGACGTCACCTTAGGGTGGGGATATGACTTAACGCGGGTATCATTACGAGTATAGGGATCAGACAATCCTATATTGTATAGCATCTGTGATTATAACTATAATGAAGTGAAGGACGTTCGGAAGTACTCGATTGTAATAAATATACGAAGCTTTTTATTTTTGAATGACACACGGACTAATTGTTTTAACTAGATCAAAAATGAAGTCAGTTTCACTACTCATCACTACTCATTGAAATTTAAAACTCGAATTACGATTTATTTTGAATAATAGCTTTAACAAGTGTTATGCGTTAAACAACTGTTTAAGCGGATTGGCAAATTTGAACTGTAAAGCGAAAGACAAAGTGAAATGTTTTTGATTGTTCAGGTGAGCACTATTTCGGAAATTTCTTGTATTATATTTCACTCGGTTCTTGTTGTTTGTCACTCTCTTAGGAACTGCTCAATTTGTTGCTTTCTCTGTTCATGAACCTTTTTCACAAATTCATCTATTCGAGGATTGGTGATCTTCGCAAGCTTGCACTCCGAACGGCTTTGTCTGCGCGTGCGAAGCTGATAAACAAATATCATCGCGCAAAAGTGGAAAAACGAATAATCCGGCCAAAGGGCCCGTTCAAAATGTATGACGGTATCTTTTAACTGCCATAATAAGAAATCGCTCAGTCGATGTTCACCGGAAGTGCGAATGAGGATGTCGGGAGCAGGAGATTGGCCGGTATACATACATTGCGAGATCAAATCTTCAGTAATGTCCTCTATTCGTAGAGCATCACTGCGAACGCCTTCGAGAATTAAATTGAGTGCGTTGGTGATTTCCTCCCTAGATGTGTACGAAATTGCCACGTTCAAAGGCGATTTTTTTGCTGCTGTCTCAGAAACTCCCTTTGCGATAACTTGTAGGGTTTGCTTTGGAATTAGACTCAGATTTCCTATTGCATTTATTTTAATGGAAGACTCCTCATCGTCCAATGCTTCCAGAATGAGGTCCCTCATTAACTTCGTCAATTTTTCCACTTCGATTGCACTTCGATTAAAGTTCTCAATGCTAAAAGCGTAAACAGTCATTTCCTCGATTCCAAACAATTCGCACCAATCGCGGATTTCACTTAACTTCCTACCTCCAACCGAATGGCCTTCCCAAGGTGGCATATTCTTTTTCTTTGCATACCTTCGGTTCCCATCCATTATGAAAGCTATATGTCGCGGGATGGGGCCACACTTTAACACGTTTGCAAAGAATATTTTTAGGAAATGAACGACATATTCATAGAGCCACATTTCTGGACTTTATCGGATACGAGCGGATCGTACTCTGGAAAAGGAATTTTATCAAATGTGAGCATGTTGCGTACTGTAGAGGTTATCGTATTTTTAACGGAAACATAATCAAATACAATATTTAT